TTAAATGTTCAGATATGATCGTCGTTGTGGTTATTACAATTTAAGCAATTACAAAAACACAAAAAACCTTTCGGGTTTATTTGAATATGACTTCAGTAACTTCAATTTGCAACATATGAGTTTAACATCATTCTTTTCTATTTTGGGTCAATGGGCTTTCCAACAAATTTTGGATCTGTATGAGATCAATGGTGTACAACAGGTTATATTATCATCGGTCAAGAGTGATAAGAAGATAGAACTTAGTCCTTTTTTGTCTACAATGAACAGAATAAAGCAGGGAACGGGGCGAGGAACGGAGCCGCAAATGGAGCGGAGTACGGAATTGAGAACGGAGCGGGCAACGGAGTGGGGATCGAGAGTGGAAATGTGCGGGAACGGAGCGGGAAACGAAGCAGGGAACGGAGCGTGGAACGGACAGGGAAACGGCGCGGGGGACGGAGCGGGGGACAACACGTCGAAGGGGGCGGGGAGCTGAGGGAGACGTGGAGGAGGACTCGAAGTTTTTTCAATATTCACTATGATCCACAGTCCCATTTACTTCCGTCTCCCTCTGTATGATTACCCTAGGCTGATAATCTCTTGTCAGAATTTTTTTCGATATAAACACCGGATTCCTTTGTAGTGGCTATTAAGGTTAATATTGTTTGACGATATTGATATTGATTTTAGATTTATAGCCACTGCAGCAAACAAATAACGACTGGTTATGAAACGTTTAACCACGATCATGAAGCGAAGAAAAGAAAACGAGGCTACGCAAGGTTTTATTGCCAGAAGAAGGTAAGTTGGTACATTTACATGTAGGTAACTGATACTTGTTTATACCGTGGCTAACTCATCTCTCGTTCTGTGACTGGCAAACTTTCGCTCTGTAACTTGTGTACGGACCAAGAGATCTTTCTTTTTCCTTCAATCATGCCGCTACAAGGCCGCCTAACTCCGAAAAAGCCATCAAAACGATGAAATAGTTTTGTTTTTCCACTTAGAGAATCATGTAGTGCGCTTTTATTTGCTTGTCCTGTATAATCGTTTGTAAGGCACCAAGTTCTTGTTCCACAAAAAGAAAGTCATATGACATAAAACTTGCTTCCCGAGATGTAACTTCCAATCCTAAAAATTACGGATCACTTGTTTTTTGTTGTTTTTTTCTTAGTTTTTTTTTTTTTTTATTTGTTTTCCCACTTAAAAAATCATGTAGTGCGTTTTTATTTGCTTTTCTTGTATAATCTTTTGTAAGGCACCAATTTTTTGTTCCATAAAATGAAAGTTATTTGACATAAAACTTGCTTCCCGAGATGTAACTTTCAATCCTAAAAATTACGGATCACTTGTTTTTTTTTTTTTTTTTCTTAGTTTTTTTTTTTTTTTAGTTTTTGTTTTTGTCGGCTAATGAAGAGGTACACAGCTAGATCTCCTCCTGAATGAAAATCCTTGAGTATTGCTGTAAAACCTAAAATACTGTTTCTGCTCTTCACATCGCCCTTCATGAATGCAGTCAAAACTGTCAAGACAGTCTTTATCATTTTTTTAGGAATCCCAATTAATTTACGTCCAATTGAATACCTAAATTTGTTTGGAATATTCTGAGTAGTGAGCATTTCTTTGTTTAACGCAGAAGCCGTGGCGGGAACAGGAGGCTTCCCCTCCAACTTTCGCTCTTACACAAGAACGTTTGCTCAATGGGGTTTGCGTCGACTTTTTCAATGCAGATAAAAAATTACTGAGACGCGCACCAAGGCGATCTTTCTTTTCCCCTCTATCCCCAATGCCCTCCTTCCTCCCAGATCGAGAGGGCTTTTTCGCTCAGCCTAGTTGACCTCTTGGTTTTCAAATGGTACCATGACATTTATCATAGGCAAAAGTTTCATTCACATCGAGGAGAAAATATATAATCGCGCCGTTTTTATGCCGTTGAAGTTAAGTTCTCAGTTGTCATTGGATACCCTGCTAGTCTGAATTTTCATTCTTTGGATAAACTTGCAAGTTCATTTAATCTTGAAAATCCTTATTTGTGTTCGTGTTGTCTTTTCAGGTATCGTTTCAGAAAGACAGGGAAACAGGAGTTACAACAGTCAAGTACAACATTGCTAAAAAGACTGATCTTGTTATTAATGAGGCACCGTGCGTGATTCTTAACGTGAACTTGCACTGCAATGTACAAGAAACACCGTGGTGTGACAATCCTGACTCGTGACAAATCGAAATGTTTTTGACTTTTTATTATAAAAGCATTATATAGATGTGTGAACTGTGTGAACCAGAATTAATTGAAATCATTTATACTTATACAATGTACATCTACCTTCGCGCGTAAAACTGCCAGTATTTTTTCTGTATGGCTCTTCGTTCGACATTGTCAGATGAGATATGACTTTGAAGAAAGAAAGCTCTCTTATCACAAAATCTGTCATGTATTATCATGATTCAATTCAGCTAGACTTCATCATGTTTTGTACCTAATTTCCTTGCCTCCTCCAAACCAGGAAAGGTCTTGGGGCACAACTCTACATAAATGAATTCAGAAAGCGATATTTTGCTGGTTTTGTTTTTCTTATTTCTTAAGATAGTTCACGTGACATTTCGAAAAAGCTGAAAACATAGCTTCAATAAGTGAAATGGTAAAGAAATGTCGATAAAATAAATATGATAAACCTTTTATTTATAGACAGCAGCTTACTGTACGATAAAACAGCCTGAAATGACCTGAAATGCTATTGTGTGAACTGAAATGTTCCTTGTTCGTTCTTCAGGTCTTATTTCAGTACTCAGTGAGTAATTGATATGCAATGCGCCTGCTTGTATCACTTGCCTTTGTTGGTAAGGTGAAAAATCTCTTAAAAGTTAGTTTATTTTTGTTCGAAATGCCTTTGATAAAAGTTTCTACACCTCTATCGTATATGAGAGCGCAAATTAATCACATTAAAGAACTCTGGGCTGTAATTAACTCGTGAACTTAGTGTTCAATTACTATATGGCTGAAAATGTGAGCGGGCAAGATGAAACAAATCCTGAGTTCTGATTGGCTAACCAAGCGGGCTCGGGATTTCTCGCATTGGTCCCCCAAAAAATTGTTGTCTTTTTGGCAATATAATAAATTCCTTATTGACCAGACTTGTTCGATCGAGATGGCTGTATATTGGCCTCGTCTCGGTCAATAAAACCGGAAAGAGGAACTTGGCCAATATCCAGCCATCGGTCAATAATGGCTCAAATTAACTGCAAAATCGTGGACGAAGATCCTGCTAGTTGCAAACGTTGGATCTGCAGAAAAGAGATCTAATCAGCCAAAATATAAAGAACCAAGAACGAGAAGTCAAAAGACTACTGCAAAGCTGATTTAAAACAGCGTGTATTGTTTATTATAACAATATTTCGGCTGGCCACACCAGCCTTCTTCAGGTTTACAGATGTTACTGAACTTAGGTAGCAATCACAATATTATATAGATGGAGAATGTCGCAATAAAAGGGAGAGGCGGAAATGACGTACAACATTCAAACTGGAAAGGAAAAATACTAAGGATATGGATAACAATAATTCGTTACGGCGGTTCAGGCCATGAGGTTCAAGAGTCATGGCCTTATCTATCAAATGCGACTCCCTGGCCTTACGAACTGAGTCACGTGAGGAACGAATTTTCTCTAGTGGGATTAACTGCATGTCAGTATGAGAATGGTTAGAGCGAGAGAGAAAGTGTTCAGAAACAGTACAGGGTTAACATTTAATGTTAGTTTTGTCGACTGCACGTCATTCAACGGTGGATTTTTCCAGGGAAGCCAAACATCGACGAATACTTCCGAATTCGAACATCAGTAGAGGTGAGAAATTGCGCGAAGTCTGAGTGATTGTACTGTGTGAAAGGTTCAAGGTCGAGAACCCTTGATTTTCCAAATATATGTAACCTTTTCCATCTATTTTCCAAAATTATACAATGATTATTTGCTCGTCAATGTTACTGTTTCATTTCTCTTGTTATTTTGGTAAAAGAAGGCGATTTCTCTCGACTGGCGCCTGCGCGTTTCTCACCTCTTCTGTTCATGTTCCTTTGAATGCTGTTTTTAACCAAATATGATAAAACAATGTAATAGGATGAGTAAAAGTTTGCTTAAAAAGAGATTTTCAGAGAAAGATCGAGGATCGAATGAAACACTAGGTAGGACTAAAGCGGATTGTCTAGATGTATCGAACGCGTAGATTTGATTTCGAGTTGATCATGAGGTAAACTCTTTTCAAACTGGCAAAAGTAGTGTCCAGGCCTGCGCAGTCCCATAGCTGACTGTGTCCCTTTAAGTATTGACAAAGGAACACTGTTAACCGTTTCCAGAAGAATTGACAAATACCCAACAAGTGCCCGAAGGGGAATGGGCGCGCTTGGAATTTTAAACTTAAACAGTAAACTGATCTTTAAGGCAGGAAGAGTGATAGAAAAAAGGGAGAAAGAAAACAAAAATAAAGTAGTATATTAGAATATAATTCACCTCTTAATTTTTATTTTTACTTTTGCTTTCTTTATTTATTTTTTCTATCACTCTTCCTGCCGTAAGAATCAGTTTACTGTTTTAAGTCTAAACTTTGGTACTCAAGATTTTACTGATCCAGGTCAACTAAAGATCCGGCGAACCCTCACGGGTTTGTCGTTGTGGTTTTGCCTTCACATGTGTTTCTGATACGCTTGGAATTGACTGAGCCATAACGGATATATAAAGCAAGCATCGGAGAAGTATTTAAAAAACCATAAAGTTCAGTGAATCGGGCGAAGAAAGACTAATAGGACAGAAGGCAGTTAGTATAAATGAGAAACAACATCGTAAATTGCGAAAGCCAATTGCAACATCTTTTATTTTATTGTTTTTTTCCATCAAATCTGTGACAATAGTTTGTTATGCTTAATTTATCATTTCAGCAGTAGTCTAACAAAATGTGTTACAGCTAAGTTATTTAAACGACCATTGCGAATCAAGCAGATATATGCAGTCTGACAACCGCTATTTGTTGGTTTAGAAGTTGACTGGTTTGAGTTTCATTTCAGCTCGTTTAACGGAGTAGTGATATCCCTTCCAGTGATACCAGTTCACACCATCAGCACCTGAAGAGTGTCTGCCGCGATGATAGAGGCCGTTCAGGTTGGAATGATGACAGCCCCTGTACCACCAAGCCCCCTTAAAAATTGTGGCACAGTTATTACCAGATTCCAAGTCATTGTCTCGATCTTTAGTGGTGAAAGAGGAGCTTTTGTGATAACTTAGCGAGTCACCAGCATTTCCTGGAAAATGAAATTGGAACAAAAGATATTTCCTTTAATTTTTCTCCACATAACTGTGATTTTCAATACGATGGTTAAGATCTAAAGACAGTAGGAAACATTGAATCCGTTTCATGGTCGAAGTAAAATCACCCTAACGCTCCATATGATATTACTTTGCTTTACTCTTATATTTTATGATAGCTGTGTGATTATTACATACTTCACTGTATCTGTAACTAGCTGTATCTCTGTTGTGAATCTTTATTTCTTAAACGTCAAAATCATTACCATTAACTTGGGCCTTAAAAGTTCTTTCCCCGAACTCCATTTTTAATTAAGTACTAAGTAATACAATTACCGGAGTAAGTTCCAAGACTCAGCTTGTATTTGCTTCTCTCGTCTGTTATAGCAAAGTAGCTGTACTCGGCATAAGCCGTGTTTCTGTTGAAGTCCTCGAGATCCACTCGAAGTTTGCTTTTAGTTTTTGTCAGGCGGTGAATTTTGTCCAGTCCGAGCCAAAACTCGCCATTCAGATTTCCGAACCCTTTTTTGTACTCGTTCCAGCCGCGGTAGAAATTAACCGAGCCATCCAGTCTCTTTTGGAACACTGTCCACCCCCCACCGGCTGTTGTTTGGTCACAGTACACGTCAAAGACACCAGCACCGTCTGGGTCGATCTTGTAAACTCCACTTGATCGTTTTCCAGCTTTGTACAGTTCAGCACAGTTCTTATAAGCTGGAAGACATGACATTAGCACTGCGTGTTAATTCTACATTTGGCAGGATATGGCTACTTTACAACTTATAAAGTTAACAACAGTTAACAATAATATCTGCTTTTTGTACACTGTACTGCAAGCTGTATGAGAAAATGTGTAAGAAGTTCAGGCCCGGAATAATGGCTTTAACACCTATGAAATTAAGCCTAACTGTCTTTAGTATATACACACTCAGTGATCTTGGTAATTCAAGCAATCTGATTGGTTAGCTATCTCGGACTATGACGTTATATTCACCGCGCTAGGCGGTGAATATAAAGCCGAGCAAAATCGCTGTCGTGAACTGGGTGTTTTGCCAAAGTTTCAAAGTAAAACCTGTTTGAAAATACACGAATATCCAAGTGCTGATGACTTTGAAGGCAAGAAAAGACTTCATGGTGTTTAAACAGCGTGATTTATTGTGAAGTGGTTTACTTTAGCTGACTTTTTGTACGCTCGAAGCTATGTTTACCACTACAGAGGAAAACGAGGTCGCTTTGTCACTGTTTTGTGATTTCGGGATTTTCTCGCAAGACCAATTTTGCCTATAAATAGAGGTTAATTTATGGAGAAGAGAGGAAGGCAAATATTTTCGAAAATTGTACGTGCCAGCAAGTTAACAAGGCAAAGAACTTTGGAGATAAACAACGCTTACCTTGATCGCAGCCGCTGTTGACAGCATTTGCAAGAAGCGACGAAGAAAACTTTCTCATTCACGGTGAGTTGACAGAAACAAATAAAGCTCTAGATACTTTTCTTCTCAGAATTGGGTAGTAATTTAAATTTTCGGCGTTTTCTTTTAAACCGTTGATGCTAAAGCTTACAAAACTCGATACAAAAGGATTAAAACTATCATTTGCCATGTTTGAAGATACTGTAAAGATCTAACTTTTGCGCATCCACTGTTTACGGCTTCGTGTTCACGCATGAATTTTCACCCGTCAATCAAACTAATGGTTTTTTAATGGTTTCCTTTCTGATTCTGTTGAGATCACTTCGTGTGAATATACTAAAACAATTATTCACCTCAGGCTCAGTTAATATTGTTGAATAATCCCCTCGACTTCGTCTCGGGGATTATTCAACAATATTAACTTCGCCTTCGGCGAATAATTGTTAAATATTAAGGGAAAATATTCGTAAACTGGACCACCTTTCCGTACTAAACAGTATAAAATAATTATAGACAATATCATAGGAATTCTGTAGGGGTGCTTCATACCAACTGCAATGCATTTCTTTCCATCTCCAGAGTATCCAGGTTTGCAAATGCAGTTGTGAGATCCTTGAGTGTTGCTACAAACTGCATTCACGTCACTGGTATGGGTTTTGTTGCTGCATTCATCAATATCTAATGACGGAGAAAACAAATGATAATCTGAGTAGTCAGTGAATCCTGACTAAGTAAATTATGAGCTAGCGCTAGTAATTTTTTATTACTTTGTTTTGACGTATGCCAATGTATGATAAATTTAAACTAACTGACAAGTTGAACAAGAAAAAAAAAATATATATATATATATATATATATATATCACATTAAAAATCAAACCTGAGCGCAGAACGGAGCCGACAGGACACTAAATGTGCTATTAGCAGATATTCTATGTGCCTAATTAATTGTCAAAACGAAGACCGAGAATGCCCATTGAAATTCTTAGTTAGTTTTTTTAGATTATTAGTAAGTTCTGATCTATACATATTGGATTTAAAAGAATATAGTACCTTAGTTACCTTAAAAGGCAAATATGTTAACTCAACAGCCAACCAGAATGCAAAGGTCAGGAAAGCATAAAAAAGGATTGTGATAGTTACCAAAGCACTTTTTTCCATTTCCATAGAATCCAGCTTTGCAAGTGCAAATGTATGAGCCCACGGTATTCTGACAAGCAGCGTTTGGATCACACCTGTGATAACTGCTGATGCATTCGTCAATGTCTGTAGTAGACAACAAAGTCAATGAAGACCAATTTATCACCGTGATCTTACTTAGTAGCAGTATTATCATTCACATGAAGATTTTTTTGGAGTACCTAAATATTAAGACTACCGCCTGGAAGACTGCTACATAAAAATGCAGACGTTATATAATTCTGATCAACAACACGGCGATAAAATTATCATAAAAACTCACTACTGCAGAAGTGATCTTTAAACCTCGTTATTGGTGACAAAGGTTTGGATTTGTAGTATTTCTATGGTAACTCAAAACTTGCCTTTAACACAAGTATAGTTATAGCATTTATCACATGACACGTCGTTCCAAGTGTAGCCATGCTCTGCACCAAGGGCGTGGACACAGTCTTCGTTTTTCAAGTTGTTTGGTTGTTGCGGTGCCCAGTACTGAAAACGGATTATTTCCTTGTTTGTCCACACAAACGATCCCTCAACGCTTCGGTCATTAAGGCCAATCCATGATCGCTCGCCATTGTGACGGTGCTGTATGTAGACATTTTCCTCTTGGTTGTGCACTGTTACCAGATGTGAGTTCATCATTGAACAGTTGGACACTGCAGTCACCCAAGGTGCGCATACAGAGCTCGTTAAATAGCAGTATCCATTGAAGTAGTCCCATCCATCTGGACAGATATCTGTGCGTATAAATCACGGCATTGAGTCACAAATAAGAGACAATAGTAAAAGATATAGCGTAAAAAATCTTCTCCTTTAAGCAGTAAAGTTCTTACCTGACAAAACTATGTAGGATATGAAGAGTGGGTCGTATTTTGCCTCATACAGTTCTTTGACACAAACCCGAAAGCCTTTCCTGCTAATATACTGTATGTAAAAGCACTAAACATTAGTACTAAAATATGCATTGGAATGTGGTGGTGGTGGTGATGGAGTAGGGAAAACACTAGAAATTTGNTTAAGGCCAATCCATGATCGCTCGCCATTGTGACGGTGCTGTATGTAGACATTTTCCTCTTGGTTGTGCACTGTTACCAGATGTGAGTTCATCATTGAACAGTTGGACACTGCAGTCACCCAAGGTGCGCATACAGAGCTCGTTAAATAGCAGTATCCATTGAAGTAGTCCCATCCATCTGGACAGATATCTGTGCGTATAAATCACGGCATTGAGTCACAAATAAGAGACAATAGTAAAAGATATAGCGTAAAAAATCTTCTCCTTTAAGCAGTAAAGTTCTTACCTGACAAAACTATGTAGGATATGAAGAGTGGGTCGTATTTTGCCTCATACAGTTCTTTGACACAAACCCGAAAGCCTTTCCTGCTAATATACTGTATGTAAAAGCACTAAACATTAGTACTAAAATATGCATTGGAATGTGGTGGTGGTGGTGATGGAGTAGGGAAAACACTAGAAATTTGGTGGTGGCAGTGGTGGTGGTGGAGGAAGAGAGAAAACAATAGGAAGGTGGTGGTGGTGGGAAAACAATAGTAATGTGGTGGTGGAGACTGTGGTGGTGGTTTTCGTGCTTAAAGGAAAATCAAAAAAGGAAGGTGAAGCGAAAAAACTGAATTGTGGAGGAGGAGGAGAAGGGGGACTCGGGAAAGTTAAAAATTCGGTTTGTTATTAGAAAGAGCTAGTTTGTCTTCGAACTCATCAATATATGCACGATTTGCTCGCCAAGAATCAAAAGTGGAAAAAAATTTTGGGCAATGAAAGCAGCAGAACTGAATACTTACCCAGATTTCATGTCAAAGGGGAGCTAGCGCTTATTACTTTGACAGCATCAATCAACAAATGAATACTTTACTTTTTTTTAGTCAACCAATCAAAAAGCAACGCATTTGTTTCCCTATCAAGTTCTAAAAAAGGCCCAGTGTAAAACCGGTTAAACCACCTTAAAACGGCACACGACCTATGTTAATGAGATTCCACCTATATTTAGAAACTTTAATTTCTACAGTACGCACAGAATCTGCGAAGAAAGGCACTTTTTTCACTGGTGCCCAAGCACCAGTATACAGTTCTAACTACTTATTTTTATCTTTATTTGTTGTAGTTGCCTGTATTCTTCAGTGCTGAAATTGGTATCGTTCTCCCCATTTATAACAGCTTTCACTGACAGGTTTACCCTGGTTAAATATGTTATAATTATGATTATGAATATTATTATTATTATTATTATTATTATTATTACGATTATTCACAGGTTACTTTTTCAAGGAATAAAGACAAAAGGTCATAACATCATCGGTGTTTATGTATTCCTCAGCAGAATAACGAGATTCGTCCGCAAAAAAGGTTAATTAGTTCTCTACTATACTACTCTTAATTTAATATGAAATTTGATATCCTGACATCACTAGTTACCAACCTCTACCCAGGCAGCTATGCTGTTATAAACTGGACTTTGATGCCCTCCTTTTGTCGAGTGAGAAGCAGAAATCAAGACGTGTGGCGTTGTGTTATAACTTTTGGCAAAGATTGCCTCCTATAAAAGGAAAAGAAAATATTTCTTGCAACTTAAAGGGGAATTCTTATCGTCTACTTCACACACGCCTTTTTTATATTTCACTCTATAGGTTATATAGTCAAGTTATAGAGACAGATAATTCATTAATTAAGAAATAACTTTAGAGAATACTTCCAAATCCAACAGTTTTTTTTGTATTTATAGAATCCTCTGGTAAGGTCTGGATGACTAAATCTTACTTTACTGTTCATAGATACTACCTTAAAGTGTCCTTGACTAGAGACGGGTAAAAAGGAAATAAAGTGAAATTTGAGAACCTCGGCTTTGACTAGACTTTGCTCCACCTTTGAAAAAAAAGGGGATTTTTGTTTTCCGGCCGACTTTGCGATAATCGTGAATTAACTGATTCTTAACTTTGCGGTTAAAATTTTGGGAAAAGCATGCCATATCAACGTTCAAAATAAACTGGGATGGCACTACATAAAGTACACTTCCAAACTGAGACGCTCAAATCTGTGAAACAGACGAAAGCGATTTTGAGGCCAACGTTAGTTGAATTCACTCAGCTCGGCACAAGAAGCCCTTTGAAACATAGGCTGCAACTAAACTTTAAACCTTTGATAACGTGAAATTGCCATTCAAATGGGTTTTATGCTTTTGCTCTATCATTCTCCTTTTACAGAATACTTACATTTAATTCTTAAAACTACTCATACAAACACCAAATGGACTGACTCCATCATAGAGGTGACTGAGGTATAGAAGTAGCGAATGTGTGACCTATGGAATTGTCAGTATTATGTACATTGCTAAGACTGTTACAGGTTAAACACCTTCGCTTTAATGGTCTGAAAGTAAAATTTGACAACTACCATCGGATGGTAAAAAAAGTCTTTTCACCGAGATTTGGATTCAAACTCAAACGCTGATACTGACCTTGCAAAATGCATTATAATGTCTTCTGTTGGGAGGTTTATCATTTGCAAAGTAGATCGAGTTATGTTCTGAAAAGGGAGGGTTGGGAAGATCCGAAAAGGCCAGCCAATTCTGAAAATAAAATCAACAACGCGTTATTTCTAGTTAATCGACTGGCATGCATAGACAAATAATAAAAAAAGTAATGGGCATGAGGTGTGAAGGTGAAGAATCTTGAAAAGTATTTTGCGCCTTTTAATAACTAATTCTAAGATGAATTTGCAGAGTTGCTCGACCTATGATAACTACGGGCTGTTCTTTTTAAGGGTGTAGTTCGTGGCAGCCAAATGCATGATCCATGTTTGACATTCACTTAAGGATACATTGTGCTTACCACAAAAATATCTCGGTGCGATCCAGCATAATTCTGCAGTTCTCTCATACAAACTTTACAAGATGATTTTGTTACATCTTCAATCCATACACTTGCAGCGTCACGTTTTAGTCCTGGATTGTAATGCTTTGACGTCACAAAGACTGAAGGTTTGACTGAAAATTTCCTCTGCAAATAGCATAGAAAAATTTTCATTCTGATAAAATAGTTCTATCGTCTGTTCTTCTTTATTTCTTTATTTTTTATTTCTTTATTTATCTACTTTATTAACAATTCAAAGAAAGAATGGTGATCCTTATAAATTCAGGAAAGTTATTAAAAGCGGCAGTTTGAACGTTATGTTTCACTTCTTCGAATTTACATAAGTAAGTGTGGTTAATTAGTGAAAGAACGATCACTTTATATTTTATTTCATTTCATTTACTATTTCATTGTTTAGCATTTTTTCACAACTATAAAGCACCCTAAACTGTAATTTGACAATACTTCTAATAGTTCAACTGTCGTGAATGATGTTTATATGATGTTTATAACCATAAAAGCTTTGAANCAAACTTTACAAGATGATTTTGTTACATCTTCAATCCATACACTTGCAGCGTCACGTTTTAGTCCTGGATTGTAATGCTTTGACGTCACAAAGACTGAAGGTTTGACTGAAAATTTCCTCTGCAAATAGCATAGAAAAATTTTCATTCTGATAAAATAGTTCTATCGTCTGTTCTTCTTTATTTCTTTATTTTTTATTTCTTTATTTATCTACTTTATTAACAATTCAAAGAAAGAATGGTGATCCTTATAAATTCAGGAAAGTTATTAAAAGCGGCAGTTTGAACGTTATGTTTCACTTCTTCGAATTTACATAAGTAAGTGTGGTTAATTAGTGAAAGAACGATCACTTTATATTTTATTTCATTTCATTTACTATTTCATTGTTTAGCATTTTTTCACAACTATAAAGCACCCTAAACTGTAATTTGACAATACTTCTAATAGTTCAACTGTCGTGAATGATGTTTATATGATGTTTATAACCATAAAAGCTTTGAAAAAGAGAGCATTCAGAAATAGATTAGGGCAACTTACAGTGGGAAATTTAACAGTTGCACAAGTCGTTCCTGTCCACCACTGTGACATGCGAAGTTCACCAGTCACACCACCCACTGGAGCACCTTGATACGCCATCCAATCAACTGTCACGTTAGCATACGACGTTCGTTCGTTATATCCGGCTGCCATCACACAGGCAGTAAATCCGCCGTTATTGACATTCTCAATCCATGATACCGCCGCGTCATGGACATACGATTTGTCACTGGTATCCATATGATTGACAGTTATCTGCACTTCAATGGATTTGTCAGGATAAAACACAAAAGGCTCGAAAGGAATTACCTGACAGTGAGAATAACCCAGAGATGGAATATGGGCCATGTGAAGGCGACCACGCTGAAGAGGAAATCCTAAAAAGGAGTTGCAAAGACAAGTTATAGGCTTAAAGTGACAAAATTAAATCCCTTGTTGACGCAACAACTTTTCCCCGAAAAGAATGGCAAAGTAAACAGAAATGAAGTAAAAGAGCATTTTACTATTAGTCCAACAAGGTTAACAGGATTCGGTGAAAAGGTGCACGTTGACCACCACAAAAAGGCAACAAAACTGCTGACCTTCACAACTGCCAGGATGTTGAACGGTAAAGTTTAGTCGATTGAGACAAACTTCTTGTTCAAACAGACATTTGTTGTCGTATGTTGTGCCATTGGATGAACATACGGGTTCTTTGTAAGTTGGACAGCTGTCCAAACACACACAGCGTGCATCATCAGGTCCAAAAGCCTTACACAGACTGTGATA